GACGTGTGCTCTTCCGATCTTGGTATTTTGTTTTATGATTATATGTACATTTATTATATGTATGCAATAAATAATTCACTGTCAAATATTAATTTTTTTTCTTTTTAAAAGCCATTATAAAATCGAAAAATTATAAACTCTCGTACAAAGCCTCCGTAAGTCGAATTTTCATATATTAACTTTCTTTTACACGAATTTCGATAAGTCGAAAACTTTATAATTCAAAGTGTTTTTCTGTTCCCTTGAGATTCGAGTTATCGAGGTTCGACTGTATAAATTTTTAAATAATATTGTAATTATTCGTTAATAATATAATATATTATTTTTAATAAGATAATTAATATGCAATATTAATTAAAATAACACAGATAAAACGTTATTTAAAAAACAGTATATTATAAATTAAAATATTAAAAGGATTATTTTTATTGCAATTTTCTATTTGCGATTAATTGCAAAATATTGATGTAATATTACCAATTTTAGCTGAAAGCTTTTCGTGTGAAGCTATTACTTTGCTGCGATTTTTGCATAAATGTTAATTTGATAGGAACTACTCTCTAAATTTTTTGGAGTGAAATTTCATTCTAAGAAGTGAAAATACTGCCACTCAAGTGGCCGAGTGACAGTATTTTCACTCTTTTGGAGTGAAATTTCACTCTTTTGGAGTGAGATTCACTCCAGAAAATTTAGAGAGTAAATTAAACAGAATTAAAAAAAAAATATACCTAGAAGGTACTGGTCCAGGTCCCTGTATACGATTTCCACCATTTTCCATTCCATTTTCCTCTCGATTTTTCTGTAGAAAGTCAAAACGTTATCAGTAAATTTGCATTTTCTGGGAACCAAGACATAATATCTCTATTTAACGTACACGCAAGCGTACGCGCATTAGAATTTCTCGATAGAAAATGTATCATTTCAAACATTTTAAACAAGATTAAATTTTTTATTTAAAAAAAAAAAGGATTCACGATCCACAGAATACCTTGCTAAGAGAACATTTGTTTTATTGTGAGATATGACGAGCGAATTTCAAGCAACGAGTATCAATCACTGTCACTATTATCAAACGCCCGTCTTTATAGGAAGAATAATATGAATGTATGTTTCCGCGATAACAGAAAAACTTCAGGTATCACGAAGAGGAATTCTTTCGTTTTTATTTACGCGGAAAATATTTAAGTTTCGCAAAATTATATAATATTCGTATATGAGAGAAAGGCGTATCTTAAATAAAAGGCATAAATAAATTCGCGGAAGGAAAAGCGCGATTCAGCGTGCTTTTAAGCAAGTTTTTTAACGAGCTTCTGCCGAGGTATTTATTGAGGCGATAAACGGAGCATTATGACCTAAACTTCGTTTATATAGAAATAAGGTGCGGCTTAATTTACTCGGATTTCCTGCTTCGTGGGTGAACTTTATCATCACTTTGTGATAGATTATTCGACGGTATTACTAACGCGAATCGCCTCTGTTTCTTCTCATAAAGAAAGCCATCGTTCATTCGCTTAAATTCTCTTCCTTAGGTGAATAATTCTCACAAACGTTTCAGCATCTCAATTCGCTTAAGAATAAGTAGCGTTATTTATTCTGCAAAAAATTGAAAAATTTACTCCGCTTTATAAAATATAAAACTCTAATAATATAACAAAGTGGACAAAAGTAAGAACTAAAAAATTTTCAGACATTATATAATTTATTTAATGTCGTTGTTTGCGACGTAAAAACACAAAATGTATGTTAAGAGCCGTAAACTTCTCATCTTTACGTTGTAAAGTACATTACATAAATAATAAACTCATATTTGTTTCTCCTCAGAGAAAAATGCATTCTGAAAACAATCTAAAATGCAATTATTTTTTGCAATATAAATTAACATGCTGCGACAAATTGCTCTTTAATTCCATTTTCACGCTCAATCTTTTTAATTAACACTGATGGAGATAAAATGCGTACTGCTATAGTAAATGAGGATAGATTGGATGCTTGTGTTTTCCCTTCGGCAATGCCGTTTCTTTCGGTAAACCGAAGAATTAAGCAGCAAGAGTTAAGCGATATTAATTACTAATTAAGAAATTAGAATGAGCGGCTGCGAGTGATTTTTGTGAAAGCACACTTTATAAGCGACTACGGTTTTTTAACGAGCTTCCACTTACTTTGGGTGGCACGATAAGAAAGGTTTCTATTTTGTGCTGAGCAAGATAACTTTCCCGTGACCCTCCGTCGCCTGGCTCAACCTCAAACCGATCACCCAGTTGAAGCAGAGTAGCCTTTGTTATGTGAACTCTCCTTAAAATTGAAAAGTAATAGAATTCCTTGTAATAGAATTTAAACAATAGTTATTTCTGATTTTCGAATTATTTATGCACGGTAATCTATATTATAAAAGAGAAGTTATTAATATTTTTCGATTTTCCGAAGTTCCTAAAAAAAATCCAATCCCTATTATAATATTATGCAACGCTAGATGTGGTTTTATTTTATTTTTCGCAATATTATATGCACCAAGCACAAATCAAATATAGAAACAGTCATAAATTATTATATCAATTAATGTTTTACGAATTAATAAAACCCCAATTTACAAGTAAATATTCCAAGTTTTAACGTTCAGTTTAATGTTTCGCAAAATACAGAGTCATAAATTATTATACCAATGTTTTAGGAATTAATAAAACCCTGACTTGTAAGTAAATATCTCAAGTTCTAACGTTCAGTACTAATAATGTTTCACAAAATACAGTGGAACACTTTGTTCCGTATATACAGTACTAGTGATATAAGCCTTCGTACTGCGGCGCGGCACAGATGACCAATACAGCTAGGTCGAGAGGACACCACGACAGTGGGTGAGTCGTCTTACCCTGGTAGACCGCCGCTTTCCATGTGATTGGCCAAGGTCACGTCGTCGCTCCACACGTCGAATTGCCATTTCCGCAAACCGAGTACTCCGCACAGCACGTTCCCTGTGTGAATTCCTATCCTCATGTCGACGTTAAAGCCGGTGGCCTCGCGGACAAACCTACGTGCGACGAGATTCAATTCGAGAATTTTTCTGTCACGCACTTTTAGAAGCGCACAATGTCGCTCCTCATTCATTCACATTCTCGCTGCACGTTATGACGTTACCCATTATTAATTTGATGATTATTCGATCTCGAATTCGGCTTGTTTCATAAATCCAATTTTATGTCTCAGAAAGTTCTTAGAAATATTGAAGATTAATAAAAGCCTAAAAAAATTGATTCCACAATTCTTTCTGTTTCCACATTCAGAATTTAATTGTAGAAGAATTTTTGCTCTCTTTCATTTTTACCTCACAATTTCGTGAGAAACAATAGTACGAATTTGACATAAAAGTCGAGCAACTGCGCGTATGTAATTAATTATAGAAACTATTTAAGTGCCGATTCAGAGAATTATGATTAATGAAGAAATAATTTGTGTAACTTGATACATATGTACAAGAGATTGTTATTAAAATGTACTGAGATGGAATCAAATATCAAAGGTCAACGTACTGAGAATCCAAATGTCAACGATCATGTACTGATTGTGAGATGAGATCAAATGCCAAAGATAGCTATCGATTTATATAACATGTGCGGACAAACTTTTAAGAGTAGAGCTCTTAAAACTGCCAAGGATAATAATTCATGGATATAATAAGCAGCGGTTAGCTGGTCTTTTGATCCGCATTGTTCCGTAATTAATGTCTATGTAACTAGGCTGTATTGTATTAATCCTCTAATCGTAGATGAGCAATCCACCGCGTTATCGCATTACGATCTCGGTATAACCGCGATATAACGGTATCGCGTGAACAATACCACTGACAAAGCATGCACAAGTCTGTAATTATTAAAGCGCAATAGATAGACGATTGACCAGAGTTATACGAGAATGTTAAGTTTTTGTCTGCTATCGATCATGATCGTATACATTTATATAGTTGCGTAACGTAATGTAATATGATGTAAATTGTATAAAAATGTTTTTTAAATATTTTTTACTCTCACATTTCAAATTTCAAATAAAATTTAACATTTTCCAAAATTTTTCTTCCACAATTCTTATCTTATATAGAACTAAATTACTGAAATAATTACTATATAAGCCAGTTCACAATTATGAAAAAATCTGAACAATTCTCTTTGTCTAATCATTTTTTGCGTCACCGTACACATTAAATATGAGAAAAATGTGGAGCAAGACGAGAGAACGCTGTCGATATAATATCGCAATGTTCTACGTGCTCCCACGGAAAGGGCTTCCTTTTTTTGTAAATTCCTCTGCGCATAAAAGTAATGTCGCAATTATTTTCACGATTCTTTTTTCATCCCGTTAGAGCTTCAGGCAACAATTTAGAAAAATTGGTAAAGGAAAGCGTATGTAACTAACGAGCTTCTCGCTCGTTAGTAATGAAATTTTAGTATTTTATTTGACCTCCTCACCTGATGGCATCGATCATTTGCAGCCCCATATTTACACAGTTGTAAGCGTGATTCGGACGGGAAACCGGAAGCCCGGAAACGCAGTAGTAACAGTCACCCAAAATTTTGATCCTCATGCATTGATTGTCCTGAAAAATCGTAAATTAATTTATTATTAATCCTTTTTGCTTCGTATAACTGGCTCGATATTGGAGCTACTGGAACGAAATACGCCAAATCCAAATCAACGTTGAAGTCTTAAGTGTCGCAAATATAATATTAATTTTATTTAACTTCAGACAATTACTGAAAGCAAAAAATTAAGACAGCAAACGGACTAAAAGATTCTATATTTGTTAATAATTTTTCTTTATCTTTATCATATTTAATCTTTCAATATAATGGATATTCTGTATATTAACATTTTATGCAGTCTATTTACTTTATTCTTATTACGCGCAATATTCTTCGTATTTTATTCAACGCAAGAATTTTTATTACAGCGCGAAAAAGTGCGACGATAATAATTCCGCATAAATTTATGTTGCAGCAGTCCTTTATTACGTAGGTAATATGAATCGTCAAAACAGAAATAGTAGTTCTTCGTATTGCAATTACAATTAATTTCAAGACAGTAAATCTTGTAAGTAGCCCATTTTTAAGCTATCAATTTGCATTTATATGAAAATTTATAAATTTTGATCGTAACGTTCTTTTTATTCACTGCATGCATTTAATTAGCATTCTATCGATTTAATTAACGTTGCGTGCAAATGAATAATTTATGTGTATGTGCAATAACTTATATATTATTAAAGTACTAATAATTTTTTTTATTCTCCGCGCGCAAATCTGTATTGTGTTAAAAATGTTCATTTTAATCATGAAAGCTATTAATTGTTAAAACATACCGTAAGACTTGTTAATTAATTGTGTCTTTCGTGTCTTTTGCTTTACAGTTGACCTCTTTTCCTTATTACGCGGATAGATCGAAATATCCCTGCGGCGACATGTTTGCGAAGATAAATACGCTACAAAGGCAGAAAATAGACAGAGGCATATCCGGATGAAAGCTTTGATACTGTCATATATATTTCACACACGTAAACACATACACACACCCAAACGGAATAAAGTTTTTCCATCTGTGGCGTCACTGTTTGTCTATTGCGAAATATTGCATGTTTTCAATTGCGAACGGCCAGAGAAAAGCGCGAGAAGTAGGAAAGTTCGTATGTCGAACTATATATATAGCTCTGGAAAACCTATCAACGTATGACACGCTACTCCTAGTGATAAAATACTTTTGCAGGACTCAGAATAGGGTAGGAAACTTGAAATTTTCCTCTCGTGTTGCATCGTTATAAAATACGTCGTGTTACATATGTCGCATTATATGTAACATATGTACAAATCTGTTACTTGAGCTGGCCTTAAATTGATCTAATTAAGATCCGATTTAGTTGGACGACTTAATATCAGATCGAGTTTACAAAGGATCCAGTTTCCTTCATCTAAAGCACCCTTGAGAATAGTCTGGCTGATTCAAGAAGACTTCCGTTCAAGTCTAATGTCGCGAGACGCGTTTAATTTTGTTGGAGCTGCGGAGATATTTTGTACAATCTAAGAAGAATTCTCGTGGCATTCTCTTAAATTTATTTGAAAAAATGTAAAAACAAGTACATTTCATTGTGGAATGATATTCTGCAAAGTGATAATAATAACAACGACGTTTATTGTTAGTTGTATAGATATCGATAAAACATGAAATTTATACAAAATTGTAAACAAAATTGCAAAAAGATATTTCTCTGTATTATTATCTTTAATACAATGATGATATTGATTTGAAGTTATAAGAAATTTGTCGCCGATAAGAACATCGTCTTCCCCCTTCATTTTCCGCATCGTTAATTTATTCGTGTATTTATGTGACATTCCTTCCCCTATTTTCCGTCCTTTCCCTTCCGTTATTTCGTTCAGTCCGATTTTGTGAACCGTAAAACTTAGTAAAACGTTATTGATGGCAATCAAAAGAATCGTCACGAGAATCATTATATACAAACCACCAACAGAAAATACACTGCTCGTGTATACTTCAGTGCTGAGATGCTTGAAGCGAAAACAAATACAAAATCGTTTCTAGATATTCTCTCTTTTTTTTCTGCTTATGTTAATAAGCAGAATTTATATATTTTTGAGATTTCATGGCATTTAAAATAATTATTTCGTTTATTTTCGGACAGATAGATTTTTAGAAAGAAATTCTGGAATGTTTGACTTTTTAAATCTCTCTTAGCTTAAATTACAATTTACAATTTCCATTGACCATAAAATAAAATTTAGCTTTGCGGAACGTGTGTTGCAAAAAATCGTCCTTTTTCGGAAGTATGTTTAAAGTAAAAATGTTTGTAGGTGTAGGTATGTGATTGCTTTTGCGTTTGATTTCACAAAGATTGAATTTTTTGAATGGTTATAATTCTGATAACATAGTCTCTATTGTTAGTTTATTTGCAACAGTTTTCTATTTAAAATTCAATTAACTTAAAAGGTTATATCGATGCACAGCTTTGAATGCGATATCAAAAAGTAAGGCGTAAAGCCGAAGATAGAAGGCAATTCTTCTAACTAAAATTGTGTTTCGCAAAACTATTTTTTTTTATATTAATAACACTTAATTTATCTATGAGTTTACGATTCTATTCTATTTTGGCGTTATTTTGACTTTATTTTTGCATAAGGAATGGAGCAAGGCAAAAGCACGTGAATTTGACCCAAAGATTGAATTTGGACTATGTAATGACTTTGTGAAGACTTTATAATGAAATTCTCCTGTAATTCCAACTACATCGTGGAAACAATCTGGTTATTCGCAAATTACAATTTATTGCCGAAACTCGACAGTTACATTACATGACATTACATGACGCGATTCAAGAAAACGAGAAGTTACGAGCTACGAGAAGATTATTGCGTGTCGCGCGTACCTATCCGAGGCTGAGATCAGCGTCAATAAATTCTGCGTTTAGCCGGCGTGACGTGCGAGATTAAATTCGGAAGAATTTTGTCACCCTGTCCTTCCGCCCTGTTCTTCCGATCAAAAGATTATGGAAATAACCGCCACTAATATGACGCAAACGCCGTGGGATTCTTTAAGACAACGCGGAATTTATCCGCGTAATTCCCATCATCGATCGGCATGCCGTTGTAATGTTTTCGCCGTTATTACGATGGCGATCTAGAGAAGCCTGTTCTTTACCTTCGCCTATACCGTTCTATAACGAACAATTATACGTATTTATCGGTATTTCAAGCAATTTCAAGAGATATACGTATGTCGAAACCGACTCTACGCCTTTTTTTATTACAAAATCTCTATCCTTGTCCTATATAAAGCTTGATTGAGATCGCATATAAAACCAACAAACCGCAAATAATTGCTCAAGGCAAGCAATCAAACCGAATGTGATCCGCGAACTGTATACGTCGGTAGATTCCGCAGACTTTTCCGCTCGGTCAGCGGATTAACCGAGGGCGAGAATGACATTTGCACGTTTGTAGCGAAGAAAAGAGATTTTGCGAGCGGACGTACGATTACAGCGTACGTCCGCTCAGATCATACAGCACTTGGATTCATGCCGCGCTCCGGTGACGCCGTAAGACCTTCCCGGCCGCTATAAAAGCGAATTATGCGACGCCGTAAAGCTGGAGGCCTTGGCGTTTGCAATCTGGCCCCCGGCGAGCGAAATTTAGCAAAGTTGCCGGCTAACTCACTTCTCTTCGCGCAAGCAGAGCAGACATTCAGCTTTACATAAACAATTTCTAAAACGCGTGATCGATAACGGTGGTGGCGATAGCAATGCTGCGGTCGCGAGACCGGGGATGAAAAATAAATGAAACTCGGAGTTTTAAAAATCCGCTCGCTCGCGGATACACGCTCTCCACGAGGCTCTTTAACGGTGGAAATATGTACATATACATACGGTATACGGCACGTATTTGTTCATTCGATATTAATTAACTTTGCTGGATTATTACTAAAGCTAATGTAATGTTAACTTGTTTGCAAATAATTTTCAATGGGAAACGATGAAAATTAATAAATATTAACGTAACAAATAATCGGCGCAAATATATAACGTTGTGAGCAAAATTAATTATTAAGTTAAATTTCGTTTTACGTGAAAAATCGAATGTGTAAAATAAATCTATTAGCCAAAAAAAAGTACTTAATATGAAAATAAAAATTAAAGAGAAAATCTTCATAATGACGTAACATAAATTAGTTTTTTACCTTCAATGAAAATCAACAATTTATCGATGTGTGAAATTTATGTATAAAGTAAATGTATTAGCTATAAAAAAAGTACTTAACAATGGAGATAAAAGTTAGAAAAACTCTTTACAATATCGCAACAAAAGTCTTTTTTATTTTAAATGAAAATCGATGGTTTCTCGATATGTAAAATTTACGGTTACACACAGAAAAATAATTAACGAAAAATATTTGGTGAGAGATACTGCAGCGTTTGATGAAAAAAAATATTCTATTTTAATTGAATAATTTAAATTTTTTAGAAATATTCTAGATAAAAATTATAGTTTTATTTATGCCATTATTTTCACTTGTTCCTTCGATTTTCCAACTGTGGAAGTGCAATATATTAACGTAGCTGCAAACTAATAAAGTTATGGAAGCTAGAATTGTAGATAGAATATAATATTGCGCGACCCTTTTTTATTCATACGACTTTGAGTATGTTAATTCATTGTAAAAACACTTTACATTCTATCTAAGATGGAAAAGTTTTACTAAAAGCACAAAGATTCTCTTTTTTATTTCCACAAAGCGATCAAGTTTTTTTTTTACTGAATCTAAATGTGCTGACAAAATACCGATGTCTTGAGAACTCTTGGGAATTATCGGACTTAAGCTTAATATTGTGTTTTATTGTCGTTCTAAAAGCAATTTTCCGCGTTAATGTAGCGTGACGCGGAAGTTCGTGCTTTTTCTTTGCTAAAAGAAAGAATGTAAGCGGCAGCCGATTATGAATCCAGGATCGCGCAATATTGTACACTGTCTCCTTTCTCCTTTTATAGCTGTCTGTCTCTTTTCATAGCTTTATTAGTTTGTAGTTATATTAGTTTAAACTTAAAACTACTCCTTTCGCAGGGGAAATCGGAAGAACGAGTGAATATGGCGGCACAAAACTAAATATATTTCTCATTTATAACGCTTTTAGATTTAAATCATTTTATTAGAATACATAATTATTCTTCATTATTTCTCATTTTTCTTTTCTTTTTATTTCTCTTTATTTTTTTCTTCAATTACTTTTGCGCGTAATCTTAAATTTTTAGTCGATAAACCGTTGGCTTTCATCGAAGATAAAAAATATTTATGATGCGATATACTATGGAAATTTTTTCTCCAATTTTTATTTTTGTTATTAGTAACAGTAGATATTTCGTTAGCTAATGCGTTTACTTTACACGCACGATTTTTCATGTAAATGAAATTTTTTCGCGGAATAGAATCAATGCTGTGGTTTAAAAAAAGAAAGACGGAAAAATAGTCGTTAGCGAGAAACACAAATTGCGCACATTTTTGTGAATCAAATGTTCAAAAGAAACCTTTTATCTTCATCGCTCTATCATGGCTTGATTGAACGACATTCAATATTTGTCGGAAAAGCGCAACCGCGTCGCGCACCACATTTTGCAATCCTGTTTATTATTTTTTGACTAACGTTATCTATTATTTTTACAGAATTGGGTCATTTTTATGAATCTCATTTGCAAAACATTTTGTTTTTTAAATTTATTCTCTTTCATTTCTTTCTGTTATTTTCAATGTATAAAATATATCTTTTTCAGAATTAAATTTCCGCAAAAAATACAAAACATTTTATATACAATTAGAAATTCGAATTATTCGAATGATTAAAAGAAAAAATATTTTATTTAAATATATTTCAGTTGAATGAGTTTTATGAGATTCATTGATCATTTGTAATTTTACAGAAAAACTGCATTTTATATGCATTAAATAAAATTTTTTTACAATTATCAACAGAAATCTCGTTTGTAATTAAAATGGATCTAATAATTTTTACCTTTCTATAAATTTTCAATTTTCTAGCGGAATTAAAATTATAAAAAGGCTTCGGAATATTCTTATCGATAAAATTCTAATTTTTAGAGAACCGTGTAAAAAATTATGAAATAAAATCAACAGACAAAATATGATTGTAAAAGGAAAGATTGTAAAAGGAATTTTTATATAATTAAATAATGTCATTCTATATCAGCATCTAAAATAACTGCTTTGCAGATTTTATATTTCTACAATTTCTATGAAAAATGTGATTTTTAATTTAACTTATAGATAAATGTATACTTAATTGAATGTCTTTGCAATAGATTAAAACAAATGGAACTGCAAGAGAGCTTACGTACCATATTTTTTTGATAGCAATTCAGTTACGTTGAGCCCGGAAATTTATTTAGTCAACGAGGAAGTCCGATTTAAAGGTATATTGACGGACTGAAATTCAATTTGCACGCTGCTGAAAAACATTGTATTTGAATCGTTAAACGGAAATGAACACGTATCAACATCAAGAACCAGAAATATTCTGTAAATAAATATTGAATAATTTTATAAATTGCAGCGTTCAGTGAGATAAACTTTCCGTCTCTCAATATTTCAAGTTGAAGCTTTTATAAATATGGTGTAAGCGAAATTTTCCTTAGAAAATTTTAACTGAAGTTAAAGTATTTTTCCTCGTGTTGGAAAAATTTTGTATTATTAGAATTGTGTTAAAATAAATATTTGCACATTTTATATAATAATTTTTATTAAACAAATTTTATTAAATGTGAGAATTTAAAAAGTTTGAATATTCTCGTGCAAAATTGAAAGTACACATTCAATGTCCCTCTTTGCACAAGTGATAGGCGATCATACATTTTGCTTGTTAGTAAAGGGTAAAAGGTTTTAGACATTTTATTCGCCTCGCACTAATGGATCCATAGTCGACCTTAGGTTAGACGACAATATTGACGATGATATATGTAGAGCAAGAAATTTAGCTTTGCAAGTTACATAGCGTGAGTCTCTCGCTCCCTCTCTCTCTCTCTCTCTCTCGCTCCCGTCATCGATATCGGATTATTTATCTCATGTTAAAATTAATTTTAGAAATAAATTTAGTAGGTAAACAATTTTTAACTTGCATAAAAAGGCGTAGTGTAGTATATACATATATTAATTAGAATTTTTGTTAAACGGACTTTAATAAAAAAATTAAATTTCATTTTTTACATAAAGCAACTTTTGAAGGAGCAAAAAGTGTACTTGCAATTTTGGTATGTAATTAGGAAAGAGAAATAAAAAAATTTATTTTTTTAAGCTATATTTAACGTTTAATTGGAAATGGTTAAATCAAATAACTTAACTATTATGTTTTCTTTTACCTGGGCTATTTGATCGAATCTGCCAAAGAGCTCGTTGAGCGTCTTCACGAGATCGGAAGCTGAGAGCTGTTCCGACAGCGGTGTGAAGTTGACAATGTCCGCGTAGAGAATGCTATGCAATTAACAAAGTTATATTGTTTTTTTTTTTTAATATTTTGTATATCTCAAAATTTTTTGACAAAGTATAAAAATATCTAGAACAGATATAAAGTAAACTATATTAAAATCATATTATTCTTATAAATGTCAATATTAATTCAATAATTTAATATTTTCATTACCGATCTTTTACAAACAAAAATTTTATGAGAAATTTTATGAAAAGCAAAATAATGGATAAGGTTCTTAGTAAATTATTTACTACTTTGTCAGAAAATTTTAATGTAAAAATTAAATTTAAATATGTATGGAATAATCTTTTGTTAATCTTAGGAGCATCTTATATTAAAGGTGTACTTCGAAGAAAGGAGGCATTGAGGAAAAATCGGCTTTGATGGATCGACAAGTGAGCTCGATTGAATCCGCACAATCGAGCGATCATACGATTTAAATTCAGATGCGTCGCTAGATCGATGGATAAATAAAGAACAGGCGACCAAAGGCAATGTGCGACACGTGCAGCGTGCGTTTATTTCAATGCAATCAATATTCCTTGCCATCATCCTCGACCCATATAATCCTCGGGAGAACTAAATACGCGCGCGCCTTCTAAATACACTGATTATGATTAAATTATTCCCGTTCTTGACCTTGCGAGAGGCGACGGTCTTTATCTTATTTTTAACATTCTTGCTACATATCGATTTGATTAGAAACGTGTGAACGAAATATTGTGTAGAAATATCGAAAAGTAATCGCAATTCAAATTGATTCCCTTACAAAAATACAAATTGTCATTTATTTTGAATTTTATAACAACAAGAATATACAACATTTTTAGATTAATATTTTGTAGCAATTAAATGACTATCATAGAGTTTCGTTACGATCGTTATATATAAACGTATATAGGAATTTTAATATTCAATAAATTACCTTACGTTGTTATGTCGTTGTACATACATCTCTTGGAACGTGGTCTGCTTGTGCTTATTAGCTTCCTGACAAGCATCCGCCATTTTCAGCATTATACTCCTCTTTACCTGCGACAGCAGATCATATTAAATTAATATCCTTTATATTTTAATATAAATATCATTTATGTAGGTATTATCATTTTATGACTGTGTAGTAATAATTACATTAACTATCCAATATAGTGTCTATATATTCTGATGACGTGTTACATTGGAAATTTGTACGTCATAGCGACGTCGTATCGACAGAACATTGTATACCATAGTTTTCGATTAGTAGATTAACCGCGTAAATCACTCATTCGAAGCCATAAATTATTCACGTCACCGGCAAATATCATTACGTGATTCACGCGGTATTGGTCGAAAATAATCGGAATCCGAGTCACAATCAATTTCAGTGAACAAATTGCTTCGCGTTATAAATGCAATTAAAAATAATCAATCACAAGTGAGAAAATATCGCTTGAAACAAAAACGTAAACAATATATTTGGTTATTTTTACAAACACCTGTCTATTACAAATCCCCGTAAAGAACTAGCTTAAACGTACAGTCGCTATAGCGCTGATCGAAAATTCTTAAAACTATATTTAAATCAAAACATGCAATTTTGTAGCTATTTTACGAGTAGTAGAGATTCTATTTTATGAGCAGTAGAGATTGTATATATTTAAAACCGGGAAAACAGAATCATGAATTTTGACACGCAATTTTATGACGTAAAGAAACATCGAATATCTGCGTAAAATAAAATGTATACTATATATACTCGTATATATACATATAAACTGGTATATAATCGCTTATATAAAAATTCTAACAAAGAAATCTTCAACACGTCTTCTCAAATGTATCAAATGTATATGTTAAATGGACTTCTCCGCGACACGTTTTTTTTTTTTTGAAGATGTAATTAATGTCATCGAAAAAAAATGTTTCTGAACTGATCGTTCCGTCCACGCGTTTCAAATAACTTACGTAAAACTTTCGCTGTAAACACCGCGTGTCTTCTTCGACTCTCATTTCAAATAAAGTTCTTACGAATTTGAGTCTAATTTCACAGAAAACTTTAGCGAATCGTTAATTACTTTTGCCAGGGAACAATTTCTTCGCAGAAGTTATCACCTGTTTTTTTATTACAGCGCGATATATTTCTTGAATCGATCTCCATCTCGTGGGATTGCGTTAAGATTGTAGCACGCGCGAAGTACGATCGAAAACAATCGTTCAAAAAATCGTGCACGCCAACTTTTTAGTTCCTTTTTTTTCTATATCTGGAAAAACTATTCTTGCCTCCGTGTAAACGCCAACATCTTTCATCCCTCGCACTCGAGATTTTGTTAAATCAGTTCTGTAACTTCTGTGATTAAATATATTTAATTACAGAAAATCAAACGTTGTAGAATGAAATTTAATTAATCGATTGAGCGCGTGTGACAATGAGATCATTCATTATATATTCGTCCACGCACAGAGCGAAAAATTCCACGCGGATGCTTCCCGGCGTAATGGATCGTAATCAAGATTTTAATTAGATCGCGGAGTGATAATTTTTATTACTCACCTCCGCCGCGATGTAGGCTGGTATAACGCTGAGTAATAATTGTTCCTGCTGCTCCCTCTCGCATTCGAGCTTGATTCGCGATTCGATCACGGTTTTTGTGCCGGAGAAAGTTCTGCGATGGGCCATCATCGTTAGGATCCGATAGTACATGCCCGCGAGGATAGCAGCCACAAGGAACATGATCTCGACAATAATCTGTCAGAAAAGATTTATTAAAAAGAAATATATTTTTTTAAATGCCCAGTTTGTAAATTGATATTAATATTTTTATTTTAAATATAATAGTAATATTTTTATTTTAAACATATAAGTACATTTACCTGGATCACGTTGTAATATCTCGTTAGATCGTCGAAGATAAGTCTTCTCGAAACGTGCGCCAGGGCCAAAATGCAACCGATGACGAGCGGTATTTGCCATCTCATTTTCGGCAGAATGGCGATTATCGATAGGATACAGGCGAACAAGGGTAGAGCACCTCTTAATATTAAAACTCCTAAACCGAGTATGATGGAGGATGTTAAACCTATTAAAATCCTGGACCGTTTGGAGATTATAGTCGAAGATAATTGCGTGACTACTAAAAATGTCAAAGAGGCGATGAGCATGGTCGTCAGTGCCGATACAGGTACAAAATCGTTCAAATTGGATAGCTTCTGAAAAATAAGTCAGGATTGAATATTAAGCGCAGGTGAGATCAATAACCTCCTATCCTTACGACCTCATATTTTCAAACAAATTCGTGAGATTGTGCGGAAAAGCGTTTCTCTCACTTTTTTTAAACAGTATATTTGCATGACTTTTAATATTTAAATATTAATATTTAACTTAACATAATTTAAACAGACTTCACATTTACAATATTTTTTGCTGGCGTAGAATAACTAAAACAAACTAGCGTGGAATAACAAGCTGGAAAAATTAAAAATTATGAATTATGTAACGGCGAAAGGGCGCATTGAGACGAAACGTGAAATGAAACGCGGAATATCAATTAAACAAACAGCAACAGATAAATAAATATTAAATAAGTATAACGAAGATCGGTATTTTATAAAAATTTTTTCGCCAATACTGTTAGGATCTACTTTTTTTTTAGTTTGTAATTTCATTCAACTTTTTTTCTTTCTTTCTCTCTCTCTCTCTTTTATAGGGTCTCGAAATAAATTCGTCTTGTCGATGATTGATCTTGTTTTCATGTCACTTTTTAATGTCGATAAAACACGAGAGAAGAAATCTTGGATCTGAGATAAATCACGTTATCAATTTTCTCGCGTCTCGTACAAATAGCTGGCTCGAAAGGATCAACGCTATCCCTCCTCGGATCCAATCCTGGAGCATGACGTTTTATGTATTCTTCGTAAATCTATCGATGTGAACGGCGTGTTGCCTTGGGCTCTTATCGCACCTCCGATATCAATATTAATTCTTGGCTCAGTTAACGAACGCTCTGCGGTTCAATTTCAGGACAGATTCATGAAGAATACATATGCACGCCGCCGAGAGACCACCCCGGACCGGTATCGATCCCATTACAAAGGAGCACTAGATGGAGTTTTAATTGAAAATTAATTACAGCTCGGAACATCATCTTGTAACCTCTGCTCTCGAAGGGTAATATAATGCTCCACAACTTAGGAAAACTTGAACATCTTGCTAATGAGCATTGATTGTAGCGATTAATAGCAAAAATAAGACACAGTAAGTAGATCAGCAGAGAAGTACTTTAAATATATTTTCTTCGATGATAAGTTAAAGTAGGTGTGTGTGTGTGTGAATGTGTGTGTAAGAGAGAGAAAGAAAGAGAGAGAGAGAAATCGTCACTTATTTAGCGCCCTGGGAATAAAATTCCCCTAAAGCACTTTCTCCCTAATACAATAAAACTGTACAACTATACAATTACATCAAAGTTAAAGTCGATAATAAATATATACGAAAAAAATATGTATAAGAAAGAAATAAGAGAGAGAGAGAGTCGTGGGTTACAAGGATAGCAAAAGTACGAAGAAAAAAAAAAGATTTTTTTAGTTCAAATTTTTAAAATTTTAAAGTTCCTTTGTGTAAGATTAATACAACAAAAATTTCTTTTTAGGCAGATTTTTTTCTTACTTTAAAGCAACAGTTATTATTACTTGATTTTTATGTGTGCAAAAAGTAAATGTATATAATATTTTTAAGCTAGGAGGATTACTAATGGCACTTACATGATAGTCGGTGAAGCAGAAAGCACCTAGAGCGATCAGCGAGGCGACAGCAGCGATGCTGAGTGTTCCCGTGTAGAGAGACGCCGTCAGCTTTCCCTCATACTTGTCACGAAGTTCCTGAAGTTCCTTAACGCCAGCGTCGTCGCCGGTGGTATCGCCGAGACTCTCTGAAAAAGGTATTGTTGTAGTTTTAACTTTGTCACATTCACATATCTCATATGTAAAAGTAAATAACGTATGTATACGAGAAGGTATTGTTGAGAACAATTTCAAGGAATTTGATATTCGGTTATCATGGCGAGAAGACATCAAGTGTTTGCGATAGAATAAAAATTTGAGAGAGATGCACATGTACAGTTTTAGAAATTTTATTTAATATTATATTTAATATTATATTTATTATCTCTATCTATTAAAATTTTATTTAATATTATATCTATTATCTCTAAGTAACAACGTGGATAATTCAATGTGTTGTATTAATTTACTTTGAAAAAGAGTAACAAAATGTTTAATTATTGCATCGTAAATATATTGTATATGCGCAAGAACTGATGGTTCAATAATAACAAATTGAAATATTTGCATAAACTTTTCATTTTGCTTTCCACATATTTAATGAATATCTTTAATCTTTATACTTGCTTTAACGTAAACCATAAGAGAGGAATACATTGCAAGTATATTAATTAACATCACAATACTGATAGCTTAGAGGCATACTGTTTACTTGCATGTGTATACAACATGCAACACAGTAATAAATTTTGATACTGTATTGCAGACATAATCCAACGGGGAATTACTAATTTAATACATTCTGACGTCTGTTTGAAAAGGGGCTTTCATATCGTAATGCGTAGGACTGTAACTAAATGCTGTATGACGTTGCATTGTGGGCACTTCAGTCATAGGATGGTTTAATTAATAATCCGAACGTGAACAAAATTCACGTCATCGTTATAACACACAGACACATCCAGTACGTGTCGTCCAGCTGATGAATTTATTTCACTGATATCTTCGATGTTACCATTAAATACGACAAGGCTTAATAATTACGCAATTATGCAGCAACAATAATAAAGTTCACGTTGGAAAATTTATACTCTACAAGTTATAAGTTATGCTCTTTAGGTTTATGTCTAACTATATGTATGTAACTTTAGGTTTGTCTGGCAAATAAACTTCCATCTAATTGTAAGTGCTGGAGGATATAACAAATTATGCATCTAAATATATATTAGTCTCCCTATCTAGAGAAACTATTATTTCGTATAATTATTATCCTGTATACGTATTTACATTACATATATCCGAATGTATATTCAGTTATGCGCGTATGCGCGCTTGTGTATACAAGATAAAATTATCACTTCGAATATCTTCGAGAGAACGTGTACATATTAGAAAATGCTTCAAACATGGGCGTCCGCAGAGGGAGGGGGAGAGGGCAAGAAGAGGCATTTGTCCCCCTCCCCCTGAAATCGGGCTAATAAAATATACAAGAAAATTCAGAATTTGCTCTCTCATTTTTACAAATATAATAAATATGTTTGTCAAATGTGAGACAGCTATAAAGTATAACACAGGTACACAACGTTTGAACATTTGCTCCTCTCGGTAGTTCATACTAAAAATTTGTTTGATGCCCTCCTCTAGAAAAAATCCTGCGGACGCCCTTGGCTTCAGATAAAAATTACTTGGTTTCAGCGAAACAAAAAAACTGTGATTTGGAGATGATTTTGGATGATATCGAAAAACGTCAAGATCATTTTAAAAATTTTAGATAGGAAGCCGTATTTTATAATTACAAATTGTTATAGCTACGTTAAAATGTTTTCGAAATGACGGTAAGTCCCTTTTTGTTAAGAGCATTCTCGTTATGAATTTTTAAAGTTTAAGTATCGCCGACATCAACGTTACTCAAGGTGTATGCCGTAGAGAGAGATTGCATGCTTTAATAATCAACCCTTTTTTATCTTGTCGACAATATACGATAGAGTCCATAAAATAACAATTAAATGGAAAAGGTTTTTAAAAAATGAATAGAACGAAGATTAATATCGATATCAAGGACGGAATGAGCGCAAATTTAATTAAACTGATTAACCATTTCAATTCTCATATTTAATTACGGATGAAAAAGATAAAAATAAAAGTAGATGAAAACAGAAAAATTCTGCGTATATAGAGACACACGTAAAGTTTTGTCTAATCTTGAGAAGTCTAGTCTAGAGAAAGTGAAATATAAATGCAAAAGTAGAATTAATCATTTAATGTGTACTTTTTGGGAAACCGTGACACAATTTAAAAAATATTCTTATTTATTACTATGGATTTCAATTTTCGAAAACGCGTCGGCCATACAATATTAATTGTCAGATATGCTTTTTATACGTCATAAGAATAATGATCTGGTTGAACATCGTGAGATAATAATGCATATGACGGATATTGCATTTGTGCAACTTTGCATGATAAAAGGAGTGCGTGTCGAGTTGTAAGGGCACACAAATTGAATGGCTTTTACCATGTCTTTTCATAAAACATTTCTGCTTCGCCTTTTATCACTTTCATTCAGAGAAAGAAAAACCAACACTTTTATTGTACGCTAGATTCCAGTCCGGTAGATTTTATTTGATTTTGAGATACAAGAAAAAAATTGATTAAGCCATCCGAATTACCATTCCCAAGTTCGTGACTCCCGGGGCTTCGGTATCATTCCGTGGTAATGTCCCATCGATAATTCGTGCTGATACAAACTCGACATGTGAATGATATGCGTGAGACGAGAGAATATTTTGAAAATGTCAAATATTGAGCGTATTAGTCTACAAAACCGACCGGTGTCACGAAATGAAAAGGGATCTCAATTTGCAAAATGTCAGCTTTTACATTTTTATTATAATATGTAAAGTTAAACTTTTAAATTTATGAATTCTTGGATATTATCTTGTTAATTATTTACTTTAAAAACGTAAAAAATGGCATAAAAATGCTCACATCGATTGAAAAAAATAATACAGCTAAATAAAATGTCGCAAGGATCTTTTCGTGTATAAAAATAGATTTAAAAACGTTCAAAAGCATATAATAATTTGAGTAAAAAAATGTGAAAAATATATTATAATATTATTGTTTAAATCTATTTTTCCTGAAAAAGCAATGCTATCACAAAGTTATCAAGCGCCAATTACAATTTCATTTTATTTTTATCTGATTTTAAAACATTTTAATTGTAATTTTTATTTGGTTTCTGTTACAATAATTTCACTTCGTTTTTCAATCGTTGCAAATGGATTAATCAATTATTTGGCTATTTATTACTGTTGCAGCGAGTGTTTGTTAAATAAAAAGGTGCAGCCCCGCGCGCGTCGCGTGATCGAGCCGCGCGGCTCTGCAAGTGCATTAACTTAATTGATCGAAATTGTCGTCGCGTCGACAACTAAACGAATCAACCTAATCCGCTAATGAAACAAGCCACGCTCAGACACGCGATCAGTAGCTAATAGTTCGATGAAGCCAAGGGCAACGCCGCGCGCGGTGTCGATGATTCTAATAATTAGCCGCTGCTCTTTTGTGTTGACATATACCCAGTAGCACGAAGGTGTGCAATTAGGCACCTTGTTAAAGTGAATACGCACAAAATCATCATAATTCCGCTCTAACGCATTGCTGCGTGTGTATTTCCACCGCATTGTTTCTGTAATTCGCGATACGTGCAAATCACGATAATATTGCGTGACAAGTAATGTAATATTGTATTATATATGCCCGATATTTTGCGACGTAATAATCAACCAAATGAGATAACGACGACACACAGTACGAAGAGAATAAAATAAATTATACGTTGCGTATACCTATAACATTGACGCATATAATTAATATAATTAATAATGCTTAGTTTTCCATTTTTCCAACTTAGTTTTCTTCTTTTTGTCGGCGCTTCCTTTTAACGTTAATAAGTTTTTGGAAGTAAAAAATCTATTATATATACAGTATAGATGTAATTCATCTAATATTATACACAGTGCGGTCCATAAGTTTTAAACAAAAATTAAATTAAATTAAATTAAAGAAATACGTCAGTAAAGTATTTTAAACATTTTTTAAAATTCAAAGGCATCCGCCTCTTTAGAAACAATACATTGCTCAATTTTCGTTTTCAATCTGTGCATCTATATAATACCTCCTTTGTAATCGTCTTAAGACAGCCGTCACTGGCTTGGATTTCTGGAATATTGCTATCTTTGGTATTTCAACTGCAATTTCAGTTTCGGAAGCAAGAAATAATCAGAGGAAGTGAGGTGAATAGGATGGGCGGGGAAGGAGGAAGGGGCGAGGGGTTGTGACAATTTTTTATGCTGTTTCGTTTCGAAAGGTATTCCAGAAATTCAAGCAGCTTTGATCGATCAACTCAAGACAATTGCGAAAGAGGAGACGACGCAAAGATTGAAAATAAGAGTAGAACAGTGTATTAATTATAAAGGATCCTATTTTAAATAAAGAAAATGTTTTAAATAATTTTCTGATATAATCTTTATTTTACAGAACCTTTTTATTTAAAAATTTATAGATCGTACTATGTATATGTGTGCATATATATGAAAGAATTTGCTGAATTGCAAAAATTTTGCACAACAATATGAATTGTTTTTTATTAAAATTTACAATTACATATTCCTCGCAAGATGTGTACTGCATGACATTTCGTTAGGATGCATTTGAATTTGTGCGTTCATATTTCCTCCTCTTCCCTGACACAGATCGTCGCAATTTGTTAGAAAATATAATGTGTAATTTGCTGCGATGAATCGTGATTTAAATCGCGAGGAATTTTTCTCGAGTGGGTTCATTGTGCGCCACTGCGTTTATGTACCTTTTAGTATCTTTCACCTCGCAGTTCATCCATCGTATGAAACATAGAAATCGTGAAGATATTCCTTTCGTAAAAGGTCCGCATAAGTCCGCCCTTATGTATCCTCTCATATTTTCAATACAAATACAATTTCTGCTAAAATAAACGTGAAACTGTCAATTCCCTTTCGTTGTGTAAATTCTTCCAGTACTGGCAATCCACAACGATGTTATTCTTATAACAAGCGAGTTCGGAAACGTATCGACAGTTAGGAAAGAAGACTGCGAAGTTTGCAAACCTTGA